CGCTTGAACCCAGGAGATGGAGGTTGCAGTGAACCGAGGTTGCACCATTGCACTCCATCCTGGTGACAGAGCAAGACTCAGTCTAAAAAAAAAAAAAGAATGGGATTTTTTGACTGTTTTTTTCCTAGATATATCCACAGACCTAAATAATACATGTTTTAAAATATGTTTAAATTAATAATTGCAAAAATGAATGATTTGCTGTCAGTTTTTTCTAAGTGGCTTTTCAAAATGATAGAAATATTAACCAAGTCATTCTATCAAGGCCTCTGGTCATATCTGGTAAAGTCAGCAGAGTGCAAGGAAAGAGCTCAGGATTGTGAGTCAGGACACCAACAAAGTAGAGGATCTTAGGTATGACTCACAACAAATCCACATCCGTCACAGCTACGAGCTATAGAATTGTTACCGGCATAAAATATGACCATGTGAGCAAAATGTTTTAAAATTTAAACGCGTCAATAAGGTATTACAGTCTGTACTATTATTAAACAGTGCCTTAATATTTTGTCTTAATTCTGGTGCCTTAATATTTTGTCAGGGACATTAGGCACAGTAGGAGTAAGAGTGGCAGTTGCAATGCAAACACTTTCAAAGGAGTGAAGAAAAGAAAGCTGCAGTTGATCTGGGCCTCTCTACTATAAATGCAGTCGTAACCTGTCATAGGCCACAGAGTAGCGCACAGGCCACAGAGCCTTGGCCGGAGATGAGCCACCACAGTGTCCTTCATGAAACTTGAAAGAGTTGAGTTTTGAAGCAAACTCAGATGTTCCAGCGAATTAAAATGTGTAGATTAAAGTGCCTTGTTCAACAAAGCATAAAACACATAATTTAAAACGTTAAAATTAATCATGTATCTGGAAATAATAAATCACTGCTTCTTTCAAAATGCCATGAAAATGGGAAGTTTCTCCTGACAGATTCCATTGTTCTGTAGGTACTATTTTCTTGGTATGATGCCTTTCAGTACCCCTGCATATGATGAATTTTCAAGTAATATGAAGTTTTTGAGCATTAAAATTCGGAATAGTTTCCTAGGCTTTTTATTTCTCTTTCCTCAGAATCATTAAATCTTAGCTATAGAGAATGGTTTTTGATGACAAAAGTCTTCTAAAGTGAGCTGAGTCAGAAACAAGGAAATGTCTAACCCTGTGCATTGGAAAGTGGGGTGCCCTCTGGAGTCACTGCCCTGTGTTTCCATCATAGCTCAGGAACTGTTTCAACTGGTTTCCCCAGCTGATTCCCAAGTGGGTCATCTGTGGAGTGAATCTGGTCATCTGTGGACCTGGTGGATCCCTGATCCCTTCATATGTTCACTACATGCATTGAAATGCTTGAGAGTTTTTGATCTTTGATGTCAAGAAAGAGGGCTAAGTAGAGGAGAAAGGACAGTGCTAGGATGCCTGAAAGAAGAAGGGTTAGGGAAGAGAAGGACACTAAAGAGGCATGGCATCTGTTTCCTCCCATGACCTGAGTCCCTGTGAAAAGAGGAGTTAAGAACAGAAGCTGGACATGCAATAATTGGTGGGGCAGAGGGAGGCAGGGGAAATGGGGGAGCTGTGCAATAGTAGTACAAGCCATGTACATCAGCCGTGTACTTCAAGGGGCTGCACAGAGATGGAATGCAGTCATCCTTTATCCTGAATCCCTCTTGCCCCTTACAACACCCCATGCTGCCGCTGCCCTCAATTCCGATCTGGGGCTAAGGGGTTCAAGGGCCGCTCCTAGCCCAGTGAAAAGCTAATTGGCAGTAAAGCTCAGAGAAAGCCTTTCCAGCAGGAGGAGTGCTGACCACAGCAAGGCAGGACTCAGCGTGGAAGAAAGGAAACAGGCTTGCTTCTGACTCTCCTACATGGAGGAGGACTAGAAAGGTTGTTTTCACACAGGGAGGAGAAAAGGGTCATTGCAATTTGGGTGTTAGTGTTAACAGGACTTCCTCTCTGCCCTCAGACAGACAAAACTTCAGGAAATTCTGGTTGCAGGGAGAGGAGTTAGCTCAAAGCCCCACTGAAAGGATTAAATAGAACATAAGAAGGTCCATGGCACAGTGGTCTCACACAGAAGGTTCTGCATAAACATAATCTTAGAATAGTTCCCAGGTAATTGGGTGCAAAAGTGTAGAAAGAATATCGATACCCCTCCCCAAAACATTCTTCTCTGTCCCCCACCCCTTATTTACGCGTCCTTATACAAACCGCAATGGCTCAGACTCTAGATGGCTGTCCAAGGTGGTCCAACAGCTTATCATATCCTGCAAAAAATCATCACAGGACTTCCACTGGCCATTCCATGTCAGGGGACAGAAACACACACTGGAATATGCCATCTGCTTTTGTCCTGAACCTCACGGCATCTTTTAACTGTCTTTTAAATTAACAATATCCTCTGAAAGATGAGAAAAAGAGAACATTTTTACTTGAAATAGTGCCAATACTAAATGACTAAGTCTGAAGTGAGTTAGTCATAAACATGTCACCTGACTCGGAGGATTTTATATCCAAATCACCATCCCACTGCAGTGCCTTGCAGTTTTTCTTAGCTCCCTGTGCTATTTTTGAAGCTTTATAATGTTGCCCTCAGAAAGAGACTGAAAAGAAAAGAAGTCAAAAGAAAAGCCTAATCTAATAAAAATCAAAATGAGACTGCATACCAAACACGACAAAAATAAAACATTTATCTCTCCCAGGGGTCTGCCAGAGCCAGTTCCTACAGCTCAACTACTGCTGATGAGTTTTATGTCATCTTGATTACATCCAAAGCCAAATTGCCCCAAATTATTTAATCATATGCATGCCAGGAATGCACCTCATCTGACAGATATAAAGTGAAATCTACTGCCTTTGTTTTCACCAGGTTTCAATATGCAATCATGTAGACTTTCTAAATAGCATAAATGTGTAAAATGGGTGTAAATTAAAATATTAAAAATTCAGGTTGGTTCATTCGGGCAAATAATTCAAGTGTGACGCTTCATAGCTGTGTACTCCTGGAAAATTCTCATTAGGCCTGAGTAAAAGTGCTCTAATATACATAGTATTATGTATGTGACCATAAAGAAATTCAGGTTGGGAGCCTTATTTTCTTATGAGACTTTCCCACTGTCCCCTAACCCGTTTAGGTTGCAATATAGAATTCTTTGTAGCTATATGAGAACTTAAATAGTAGCGAGTCCAATTGCTCATTTCAAAGATGAGAAATAAACAAAACCCAGTAAGGTAGTCTTGTTGGGTTAAATCTTTCTGAAAATGTAGTTTAAAAATCCTAACCCAAGAAAATATTTAGAAGAGCTTTAGTCACTTGGGTCTAATCTCAAAGGCCTATAAGAGAATGCATTTTTGTCACCAAGCAACAGGAAATATGATGCAAAAAGACTGCATGTTTGTCTCCCCCAAGGGACTGAATTCTTCACACAAAAGTACCATGTTGATTATCTTTACATCTTTAATGATGCACATAGTAGGCATTAAATAAGCATGAAAAAATAAACCATCCCACGTGGGAGATACACCAAATATTCCTTCTGCTCATCCTATTTCAAGAAAAATTTATCAGATCTTCCACATAATTCTCCCCAGTTATGGACTGTATCAGCAGCAGATACCAAATATTACATGGAAATTAAATACTGTAGAACTATTTTTAGTAGCACAGACCACTACACTTAGTTGGTGGTCTTGACTAGCTGCTGAATTAATTTCTGCCTGTGCATAGAGTATACAGAAGACAGCACAGAGTTGAAAAATAATTATTTACTTGTAAGTGCCTGATTGTGGGTGCTGCACATAAAATCATTCTCTTTAAAAAGAATATTCTCTAAATGCATAAAGATCTTGGAATTTGGTTGGGTTTATCTTGTCCCTCAGAATAATAAAATTGTTATCTCAGTTCTTGTGCAGTAAATATGGAAAAGCATATTTTTTGCCTATGAATTATATCTTATCTTGCTATCATTGGATTGTTGGGTGAACTATTAATACCTTATTGCCATTCAGACACAAATGATAGCTTTGACCACCCTATTTTACCCACCCTAAAATGTATGCTAAAGCTACTTAACTGATTTTATATGTATTTACTATATATAATATATGATTATGTAGAAGTTAATATGCTTATGTCAATAAGTAGTTTGCAACTGTGTTCTGAAACTGCCAAGGAAATGTTATTTTCAAGTTTTTTTGGCCGGGTGCAGTGGCTCACGCCTGTAATCCCAGCACTTTGGGAGGCTGCGGCAGGTGGATCACTTGAGCTCAGGAGTTCAAGACTAGCCTGGCAAACATGGTAAAACACCCTCTCTACTAAAAATACAAAAATTAGCCAGTTGTGGTGGCACAAGCCTATAACCTCAGTTACTCGGGAGGCTGAGGCAGGAGAATCACTTCAACGTTGGAGGCAGAAGTTGCAGTGAGCCAAGATCACACCACTGCACTCCAACCTGAGTGACAAAGTGAGATTCTGTCTCAGAAAAAAAAAAAAAAGTTTTTAATGGGCGGAATCATTCCTGTAAGAATCTCTAAGCAGTTTTACTGAATAATTTCACTAACCATTGTAGTATCCTTCTCTGAAAAGGAAACTCTTAAAGGAGTGAGATGCTGACAGACTGCTCTACGGGTGGTGATGAGCTCTGGGAGATAAAGACTTGACCCTCCCCATACCGCTCACACTGGGAAGCTTTTATAGTTGTCTCTGCAACTGCTGCAATATATGAATGCACACTTCACCTAGCATTTACAGACCTAGTACCTGCAAGAGTAACCGTGGGAAACCCCGCATCTGGGCACCAAGGAAGGAGAGCTAAGCAGATCCCCAGCACAACCAGTGACTGAGGAATATCTTAGTTTATAGTGTTATTACTCAGTTATTTCCTTTATATAATCCTTTATGTATAATCATGTATTATTTTATAGTCAGAACAATTAATGCCTGAAGAATATCTTACAACTCAGTTATTTTCATATATATATATATATATATATAATTATATCTTAGTTCATGGAGGAATGCCTAGAGCAGACACAATACAGAGCATGAATTAAGGGATAAACAGCTATACATATATAAGCATATCTTGCTTATAGTCAGAGGAATGTCTAGAGCAGACACGGTGCAGAGCATGATTTAAGGGAAAAACACTTATACCAGGACAAGAATCTATGGCCCAGGCAGTAGTGACCCTGCCTGAAAGGGCATACTCTACATGCCAGGCTGGCCCAGGTGGCAGCATTCAGTATTGTAAAGATACCTGCTGTATGGCAAGCTTGGAGCAGGAGTCACTCCTCCTGAAAAGGAGTTGCAGTACCTTGCATCTAGTCCTTGTGGAAAGCTGGCCTCAGGTTAGCAAGCCCACGAGTGTCCGAGGGGGCTTAAAACCACTCCCGTATAATCCCACCTCAGTGGCTGTGAACTTTATCAGCTCTGTTGTTACTGTGCTGGCTCAAAGCATCCTCCTATAGAAATCATTGGAAGCTGCCAGCAGGTGGCAGTAGACCCTGTCAGCTCTGTCGCTGCTGTGTGACTCAAAGCATCCTCCTATAGATATCCTTAGAAGTAGCCTGCCCATATATAAGAGATATTGTACACTGCACCCTCTTCACTGCACACGGCCCACCTCCTTGCCTCGGTGACCTAATGGGGATGGACCCCTTGCTGCACACTGCCCACCTCCTAGCCTAGGTGACCTAATGGGATGGATCCCTTGCTTATCACTCACGTGTCTTGACCATAGCACTGTCCTTAAAGATGACCTCACTCACTGCCCTTCCCCCCAACCTATACCCAATAAATTCAGAGGCATCTGGATGTTCAGGGCCTCGCCTGTCTCTGCCTATATGTGGTGTGGCCCCCGAGCCCAGCTGCGCTTTCTTTGTCCTTCTGAGTCCTGTCTCTATTTCTCGTATCCTGCACCTCAGCACAGTGATAGTGGACACCCCCTGACCCTGTAGGGCTTGACTCTACAAGTAACCGCTGAGGGGTCTTTGAAGCATCAATCTTAATATAGCTCAAGTTCCACCAAGTGAAAAATCTAAAGATTTTAAGGACCACAGCAGATGCTGTTGCCACACTCCCTCCCATATCCCTGCAGCCTCAACTCTGAGTTCCCATAGCTGTCATGGACAATTTCTGGGCATGTTGATAACTTCCTGCCTCAAATACCCTTCCCTGCCTGTCTCTCCAACTGTGGGCTCTCTCTCTGCTATGAGAGATGGGTTAGGCTACTTGCATGCATAGCTGGCAGTGTAAAACTCTTAACTTTATTCCACTTTGGATGTGTTTTGCAATTCCTATTCTTGCTAACATGCTGCAAAGCTACTATAAGCAAGGCTCTTTCAATACATACTTGTAGGCAGTCTGGAAGTGCTAGGAATTCAACACAAAGAGCAACCCTCAACCAATTACGGAGGAAGTAGGTGGATAAATACCACAATTTCCTTGTCCCTCAGCAGGACAACCAAGTTTCTGGGTATGTCCCCAGCTGGACAGAACCCCATTGCCTACACAGGTAAGCTATGAATGCACCCTCAAGTGGCTTTTCTCTGGAAAAAGAAAAACAGCTTAGAGCTGTCCGAGCTATGCGAGGTATACAAAATGTACAGGTCCTAAGAAACATGGTTCAGTCCAGCACCGGCACCCATGCCTGGAGGCAACTGTTTAAAGGCATTTGGTTCATGACTCACTGTCTCACCCATAATCTTCAAATTCCTGGAATATGTGATACAAAGAACAAGGTATAGCCAATCAATTGCTTTAGCAATCTTAATGTAAATCTTGGTAAACAACTTAGGAACTGCCTCTTCTTTTTCCTTAAAAACTCACTGGTAAATCTGCTAACCAAAATGTGTATCCTGGGCAACTTGAATCTATGCTTCTGGGTGGCCCTTCTCAAACTTTAGGCTTGAATACACTCTCTTGAAACTAGATTTCGACCTTTTTGTTTGCTCTAGGTCCATGCTCCCTGTCTTCACTCACTTTCCCAGCTCCTTCCTTTGGCATCCTGGAAGCCTCCAGATAAACTACCCACCTCCAAGTCCTGCTTTCAGGTTCTGCTTTTGAGGGATCATAATTAAGACAAACTCTTTCTTCAAAGTCAGTGGGAATGGGCAAATTTAAGGAAGTTATTGGAGTTAACTACTAAGTTAGTGGGGTTAGTTGAGAGAGATGGGGAAGAAATATTCTCCATTTGCAAATCATGGCTATTTTCAGCACTATATCTCCACTAACGTCTTCCTTGTGATATTTGGTTTTCAGTAACTGGGTATGTCTATGGACTGCACTCTGTTTTTTCTGGTAAAGCCTGCAGATTTACTAGTGATAGTTTCATACTGCTTTGCCTTTTGCTGTCTCCAGCTACTATCAGTGTGGCTGATAGTAACTGCTATATATATGAGTGAAAGAAGGAAAGCAGAGAAAGAAAGAAAGAAAAGAAGAAAATACAGCAGTACATGGATGAAACTGGAAACCATCATTCTCAGCAAACTGACACAACAACAGAAAACCAAACACTGCATATTCTTACTTATAAGTGAGTGTTGAACAATGAGAACACACAGACACAGGGAGGGAAACATCACACACAGGAGCCTGGGAGGTGGGGCTAGGGGAGGAATAGCAGGGGGTGGGGGGATTGGGGAGGGATAGCATTAGGAGAAATACCTAATGTCAATGATGGGGCGATGAATGCAGCAAACCACCACCAAGGTACATGTGTACTTATGTAACAAACCTGCATGATCTGCACATGTACCCCAGAACTTAAAATATAATAAAAAATAAAATAAAATAAAACACTTTGGGTGATAAGCCATGCAGTTCTAAAGAGTAAGTATGATTCATTCTGTATACGTGAGCTATAGTATTTGCAAATTCCTGGATTATCTGTAATTCTTAATAATAAGCCTAGATATTCCTTAAGGTCAATTGAGAAAATAAGTTTGACATATCAGAAACTCAAAAAAGCTCTGGGGCCTGAGGAGCATTCTTCAAAGGAAATTAAAGTCTGAACACTAAAACAGAGTTCAGTACAGGAAGTCAAAACAAGGCATTCCAAGTTCTTAGCAGAATGGCTTAGTTCAGGGATTATTTTATTCTCTTACATAAAGAAACAAAGAATTCAGAAATCAAATGTGTATGAAGAAAAACAAAGTACTTGAATTTTTTTGGTCCAACAAAAACATAATATAGGAAGATGAAACTAATGGTGAGAGAGCTTATGAAAATTAAAGTCGTAAATAATTTAGTTCTCACCAGAGATTGTCTTGAACTGACTTAAGATGTTTCTTAAGAAGTTATTTCATTCTGCAGCCTCCTCAAAATAAAATCACAATAAAGAGGAAAATAATCAATATTGAAATGTTTGTGGTTTTTATTTATTTATACCACTCTCTCCAAACCATGTTTTTACAAAAAGACTGATTGTGGAAAATGTTTTATGAAAACATTTTCTGTAGATTCCAGTCCAATTACCTTGGAATGTGTCTGACCTTTTACTTCCTACCTCAAGAATGTAATCTTCTTGATTTTCTTTCCAAGGCAAGCAAGCTTTCATTTAGTTGAGGAACTATGATAAGGAATGTATCCAGGCTAGAATTTCAAACCATTGAGCTCCTGGCAACTTGCCCTTCCTTGTCATTTATTTGGCTCTTTCTGTCCTCCTCCCTGTCTCCTTTTCACTCCCACGTACCCTCAGCCCCTCTCTCTCCTCCATGGGAGCAACATGGTTGCAAACTGGAATGATGGGAAAGTTTTGAAGTCACTCAGGCACAATAATTTGCTTTCTATTTTTAAAAACAGATCTACTGGTAAAATAAATCAAGTGTCAGGCAAAGTGGTATAATCAAATGTGCTTTGTGCCTCTTGCAGAGAACAAAGAAATTTTTCCCTCTACAATAATGAGTATTTGAGTGGAAATGATTTTGGAGATTTGGAATAAATGTCACCTATGTCCCAAAGTTCTTGGCCTTGAAATATTGATGATTGATCAGAAATGCACACAGGATCAGTGATCCCTAGCAGGCCAGACTCAGAAACAAAGCCAGGAAGCTAAATGTGACACAGGGACAGCAGTGTCTTAGGTCACTTTTCAACATTCAGGTCATAAATGAGATCCTACACTGTCTGCGTTATATTCACAAGCTACAATATTTTAATCATTCTTTATTGCTTCTCTGCTTGGTTGGAATGGATGTGGATGGGGAGAAACTGAGGTGATACAGACTAAAGTAGGCTGGCGCAGTGGCTCATGCCTGTAATCCCAACACTTTGGGAAGCTGAGGTGGGTGGGTCACTTGAGGCCAGGAGTTTAAAACCAGTCTGGCCAACATGGTGAAACCTCATCTATACTAAAAATGCAAAAACTAGCCAGGCATGGTGACACATGCCTGTAATCTTAGCTACTTGGTTGGCTGAAGTAAGAGAATTGCTTGAACCAGGTAAGACAGAAGCTGCAGTGGGTGGAGATTGTACCACTCCACTCCAGCCTGGATGACAGAGCAAGACTCTGTCTCAAAA